TAGTAGGACCTTAAAGACTTACAAAACATGTAGACAGTATCATGAGCTTTTGTGGGTACAGCCCACTTAGCTCGTGAGCCGTTATGACTCCAGGTCCCTTTCTGCAGTACTCCTTCCTAGGCAGTTATTTCCCATTGTGTGTGTGTGCAAGGGCTTGTTCCTTGTTAAGTGGAGTACTTTGCATTCATCCTTATTGAATTTCACCCTCTTTACTTCAGACCATTTCTCCATTGCAAAACTCACCCCGAGCAAACGAGTTGTATGGAGGTTTTCTTCCTTGTTGCTACTGCTCTGGGTATCCCTGTCTTTCACCTGGTTGAGATTAAAATTGCCCTGCTGCCTCAGACCAAAGACACAGGCCTGGCCAAAGAGTTTGCAGGGCCCAAGGTGGCATGTTGTGGTTGGCTACACTACGTGGCTGGGCCAGGGCAGTGAGCGAGCAGCTGAGCGGGTGGGTGCCAGGCAGCGTGGGGCCCTGAAGGCACAGGGCCCAAGACAACCGCCTTGCCCTAAGGCCAGACCTGCAAAGACTCAAAGAAAGATGGGTGCAAAGACACACACACACACACACACACACACACACACACACACACACACACTTCTAACCTCTTGCCACTCTGGTTGTTAGTAGTTCAGTTTGGTTAGCCAGGAAACAGCTGCCTTTTCACTCACTTTATTCCACTGTTTGTCTAGGCCAGTTGTTCTCAAACTGTGGTCCATGGACCACTAGTGGTCTGCGGCCGCCTTCCAGGTGGTCTATGGCTCGAGCTCAGCCTGCCCCCCCCTTCCCTCTCCCTGCAGCAGGGAGCCAGCACTGGTGCTCCAGCCTAGTATCCCCCTGCAAGGTTGGAATGTCAGTGCCCGCTTTTTGCTGGGGGGCGGGGAAAGAAAGCCACCAGCCTCCTAGCTGGATCAGCTTTGTAGGGAAGAGGAGGAACCAGAAGCAGCTCTGTGCACTTCTGCTCCCCTTCCCCCATCTGGGGGAACTGCAGTGCACGGATGCACAGCCTGCAGGCTTTCCCTGCTGCTCCCATTGGCTGAAAACAATGGGAGCATAGGGAGGCAGTGCCTGGGAGTGATGCGAGGCACGAAGGCAAGTAAGTTTTCCCCCTGCCCTCTTGTGCCCAGACTGTGCACCCCCTATCCCTCACACAGCCCTTGCTGAGGCCACGTGCCCGCACCTTCCCCCCTGGTCAGACACCCTTCCCCTAGCCTGCTCCTGCACCCACCACCCTACCTTCTGGCCACACACTGCACCTTTCCTTACTCTTACCCCCTCCCCCTGGCCAGACACCCTATTCCCAGTCTACTCCTGCACTCTACCTCCCATCCTGACCTCACAGCCTTCCCCCTCCTGTACCCCACCTTCCACCCAGATCATGCACCCCCATTCGTGTCCCACTCACCGGCACCCGTCCCACACACCGAACCAACCCCTCATTTTTGCCCCCACCCCAGAGGCTGGGGGGGAGGGCGGGAGCGCTCTTTCTCTCACATTGAACCCCTCATTTTTGTTCCTACCCCGGGCCTAATGGGGTCCACAAAATCCACAAAATCTGGAGCTCCAGAAAAGTAAATCTAGCCTATGGGAAGCCCTGAACCTCAGTCCTCCCTGTCCCTTCCCCTCACCCCGTGGGGCTGGAGTGCCAGAAGAATGAGGTGTCTCAGTTGGGAGCCACATCAGTGAAGGTTGGGGGCTTGGGGAGGAGTTATTTGCTTCTCACTTGTGTGGCCTCCAACTGATTTCACTGTGGGTCAGTAACCCTGACACAAAAAAAGGTTCCCCACCCAGCCATGAATAGAGAAAACATTGAAACCTTTTGTTTGATTATTAATAACCTGATGAGCAGGAACAATAGTTTTATACATTCCATGTTAATTCAAGCACAGTAACTTTGCATGTTTGAGACTATCAAATACAGTTGCAGGTCTTTTTATTTGGGAGCACATTTGCAGACAAATTCAAGCATTATTCTCTCTTTAATGGAATAACCTCGGCCAACAGAATATTTGGAAAAATAAAGGGACTTCTTTGGTATATATGTGCAGTTCTGATTTCATCCATGCCCCCAAGACCTCTTCTCTTCTGTCCCCTTCTCCTGTTCCCTTCTCCATTCACAGTTATGTTTGTCTAGTATTATATTTTATATTAAACACAGCGAGAAAGTTAAGGAGATTAATCTGTATCATAATTTAAATGAATATTTCCTTTCTTACTGGTTAAATTAAACTGTTCTCCCTAGCTGCAGCACTAGCAAAATGGCTCGGGGGTAATTATATAATTAACAGCAAATTTCCATTAGCAACTGGTGGCCCGTGGAAAGGTGAGCTTTGAGCCAAGTGGTCCACGGGCCAAAAAGTTTGAGAACTAATGGTCTAGACTTAGCTGTGCCACTGCTGGTCCCATACATGCTCTGCACCTGCCTCCTGGCATGTGTATCCATTCACATACATCTAGCATTTTGGAGCCTGTTGGGAAGCCACATCCAAGGAGCTGTATTTAGTGTGATATTAAAGTCAGACTTTTCCTATTAAGACTCCATGGTCATTAATCCCTCGCTCCCCCCTCCCCCCCAAAAAAGGTTCTCCCATTTCTTTGTCAACTCCTAGAACTTTTTTAAAAAGACAGGATGTGTTTGGTGCATGTGGAGAAGGCATTGGACTGGGACCCAGGAGACCTCTGCTCAGTTACCATCTGCTACAGACTCACCACGTGACCTTGAAGGAGTCTGTTCCACTCTGTGCCTCAGTTCCTCCTTTGTTCAGTTGGGATAATAATCCTTCCTTTCTCCCACCATTTATCTTTTCCTTTAAGCAGTTTGGGGAAGGGTCTCTCTTTGATTTGTCTGTACAGGGCCTAGAACAATGGGGCCCAGATTTCAGTTAGGGGCCATAGTCAATAATTATGTAAATAAAAACGTGGTATGCCTTCAGAGCAGAGTCCTGCAACCCAAGCTCAACAGGACCCACTTCAAGGGTCAAGTTGGCTCTTCTGCCAGTGGGGTTGGTGCTGGGACAGCTTCGTACCTTGCTCCAGCCAGTTGGCACCACTTTGCTGTTCCCATGTGAAGTGAGTGTGCCAAGACTTACAACCCCTCTCACGTCACAACACACACAGCCCAGCAGGGGGCAGCAGCCAGCAGGAGAGGAGCATGAAGCCATCACTGTGTCAACCCCATGGGCCAGAGATGTGGGAATCAGGCCAGAAAACTTAACTCTTTGGGGCTAATCTTGGGGCCCATTTGCATCTAAGTCAGGCTTAAAATGTAGGCGTGAGCACACTTTAGAAATCTTCCCTTTTAATGATCACTAAACCACAGCATCAGGGACACCCAACTCTCACAATTGAAATAAGTGTACAGCTAGACTGTGATACCGCTAGTATCCCAAAAAAATTCCACCACGTCCAGGGAACACATTTGTTCTTCTGCCTTTTTTTTTTTTTTTTTGCACTCATTCGGAAGCCCCTGTATTCCTCATTCTAGGAGGAAGAATGGGGCTTCCAAAAGAGGGGTTTTTTCCCAACATTTGGCCCAGTCTAGACAGGCCAAATGTCGGAAAAGCCTTTTCTGACACAAAGAACCTGAAAAACGCTAGACTGTGATACCGCTAGTATCCCAAAAAAATTCCACCACGTCCAGGGAACACATTTGTTCTTCTGCCTTTTTTTTTTTTTTTTTTTTGCGCAGAAGAGCAAATGCACTCATTCGGAAGCCCCTGTATTCCTCATTCTAGGAGGAAGAATGGGGCTTCCAAAATTGTGTTTGTTTCCCAACATTTGGCCCAGTCTAGACAGGCCAAATGTCGGAAAAGCCTTTTCTGACACAAAGAACCTGAAAAACTTATGCATTTTGCGGATCTTTTTCCAACAAAAAACATGTAGTCTAGCCGTACCCTAAGAGAGAGGATCTCCTCCCCCCAATGTAGTTGTTTTTCATGAAGGGAGGAGAAGGTTAAAAAAAAAGACAATACCAAAAAAAAAAAAAAAAAAAAAGCCCATCACCCAAAAAAACAAAAGGCAAAACCAAACACTAAAAGAGCACCTACGGGTACTAGGAATCCGGGTGTGAGCCGATACAAGGCCTAGGATAGGATTCATGGCAGGGAGTGGCTTCTTTGCCATCATTAGGAACATTAAAACAGAGACTGGAGGTTTGTCTAAAAGAGCTGTGCTACCTCAAACTGCAATTAAAATCAGGGAAGCCCCGTCTTCTGTTACACCGGAGCTCAGACCAGATGATCACAGTGGTCATTTTGGGCCTTGGTGTCTGTGAATCTTTGTGGGGCTTGTGTGAGGAGTCGGGGCTGCTCGGTGTTCCGATTGCCAGGACAGAGATCAGTGAAGTTGGCAACCCTATTGGGAAAGCATGTGGAAGCTCTGGCTGTGCCAAGACAGTGCACCCAGCAGCAAAGCCAGCAGCTTTCTGGGCATCAGCAGTGCAGGTGCAGCTCTGCCCAAATGATCGTTTTTCCCTGAGCTGTCCAAAATGGATGCCCCAAGTCCGGAAGGCTGGAATATGTTGTGTCTAAGTCTAAACTGGGTCCCCGCCCCAAGGCTGGAATATGTTGTGTCTAAGTCTAAACTGGGTCCCACAGGGATGTGTCATGCAAGGCGCTGCTCGATTCTTCCATCCTACTAGGTATCTTTGCAGCTGGAAATCAAGCAGTCCCCTAGTGTGCAGAAAGGTACATTTGGCGTTTGGAGTGTGGTGGATGCACAAGGGAAGCTAACCGTATGTTGCACAGTTTTCTCCAGCACATATGCTACCTAGGGCACTTAGTGCTGTGTGAGCCTACGTGGTGCCATTTCTTTCTGCAGCAGGGCCCTCTCCTCACACCAGATTTCTGTATTCCCAACAGAAATGGTATAGCCACAGCATTCCCCCAGTCGCATTTTCTATCCTCGCTAGGCAAACCAAAGTCTTTTTTCGAGGGACCAAATGAGGGTATTTAGGGGGTGCATTGGCCCGCTGTGACATTCTCTTTTGAACATGTTATAGGCCTTCCACTCCCTTCTTCGACCTTCTCCAGCACAGATACAAGGAGGTGTGGATGGAGCAACAGAGAGCAATAGTCGTGGCCCAGCAAGTGGACAAGAAAAAGGTAACAGCACTTTGGATGTAGTATCCCTCATTTCCTGTCCTAGACTTATGTAGGATTGCTGCCCTCTGTTAAACCACTGCTTTGTTCCTCCCCAGAGTTAGAAACATTTCAGTAGTGGGTGAGATAACACTGGCTAGAGGGCTCAGGCCTTGTTTACCCCCATTCCCTAAGAAGGGTGTGTCTACACAGCACCCTAAACTCAAAATAAGATACACAATTTGCATAGCACAAATTGTGTATCTTATTCCAATTCTATTTCGTCTACATGTCACCAAATTTCAAAATAATGCACTATTTTGAAACATCTCTTAACCCTCATGCAATGAGGGTTACAGGGATGCCGAAATAGCATGCCTGTTATTTCAAAAAAATATTTTGAAATAACGGGTGGGCGGCATGTTACGATGCAGAGTAACTATTTTGGGATACCTCTGGTATCCTGAAATAGTCGTGCAGTGTAGACGTACCCGAAGGAGGGCTTTAGGGATACACCTCTGCCCCTACTTGGTCTGAAAGGTTCCATGGTTGAACCTGCATGGCTCCTACAGAACAATTTCATGTTGACAATGCATGAAAGTGTGTTCCCCCCCCCCACACACACACACACACATCCCCTTTTTATTTTTATAAATACCCGTGGGATTCTTCAGGGCAAAAGGCAGTGCCCTAAATGTCAGTTACTGTAAGATCAATGGTAAGTTTAGAGGGAACTTTGGTTCCCTGGCTGCTAATAGCACAATCAAAACAAAGCAAAAAGATCTTAAAATACTGTATTTTCTGTAGCAAAGCATTTTCCTTCTACAGAAGTGTCGGCATTTCTCTTTTACTCCTCTCCTTTAAAGTCAGCTTGGCTTCAGCTAGCAGGTATCTAGGGCATTGTTCTGTGTCAGCATACACCACCATAGTTATCTCGTGCAAATCTCAAGAATTGTACAAATGAGTGTATGTATTAAGGGACAGCCGGGTAGATTTTAAGAAGAATTTAGGCACTTCATGAGCTAGACTTTTAATGGGATTTTCAAAAGCCTCTTGGCACCTAACTCCCAAGGACAGAATAGGAATTAGACATCTAACCTACCTAGGCAGTTTTGAGAATCCTACTAGGCATCAGTCTGCATCTGTAGATACCTACATAGCTTTAAAAATCTAGCCCTCAGTTCCCACTCTGATTGAAAACCATCAGATCAATTAAAGAGAACGGGCTTGATTGTCATGAACAGGAAGACCCCTTTTTTACCACTGCCATGTGAAGCAACTTTTTTGTAAGTGACAATGGGTCTCAAGTCTTCTGATGTTCAGGAGTTTTAGTCAAGTGTCCTCCAAGGAATTTTATCTTCACCCAGGGAGTCCCCATGAAAGATCTCACAACGTCGCCCTAGAGATGGGCCCCCATGACCATCCTAACGTAGGTTCCAACATGCATTCAAATGAGGCAAGGCCCCAGCTCTGATGTAGGCATTGCTTGTCTGTCTCCAGCAGTCAGAGTAGTAGTTAGAGCGTGAAACACGGTGCCATTATATGCAGCAATGTTGTAATAACATTTAAAAGCAGCCAATGACTGGTTTATTAGTTAATGGCTCAAGAAAGAGTTGAGTTAATATGGTAATGACCAATTTCAGTGGTATTATTGCCATTACCAAGTATGTTTTATAGTTGAAGTGCAAGAATACAGTGTTTTTAATTAGCAGCTATTTTATGGCTGCACTGTTGGAAAACACATTGCCACCTGATCTATTAATGACTGATTATTTTTTAATCATGGGGCGAGATTATTGTGTTTTCCTCCATTTTATCAAGAGTTCCTGAAATCTGCAGGCATCTCCTATTGAATTAAGGGAGGCAAACCTACATAAGAGACTGCACTCGAGTGATACAGAAGCCCAAGTTTCACCATATAACCCAAAACATTCACATAATCTGTAGCACCTTGTGTGAGACATCTCCCATGTGCTACAAGCTAAGCATGGTCAGGCTAATGTATAACTTGAATGGGCAACAGTCACAAAACATCCTGGAAGATGGACTTTCAAGTAGGAATAAGAGATCCTCCATATCCTGGAAGACGGACTTTCAAGTAGGAAGAAGAGATCCTCTGGAAAAGGGTTTATTTTCCGGAGAATCACGTCTAGACTGGCGCTTTTCTCTGGCTTATCCCCAAGCCGGAAAAAAGCGGCAGCCATGTTAATGCAAATGCCGCGGGGGATATTTAAATCCCCTGCGGATTTGCCTATTCCAAAGTGTCTAATCTGCATCCCTTTTCCGGAAAAGGGGTGCAGTGTAGACACAGCCTTCTAGTACGGAGAACAGGGCTCTGTGCTGGACCTTTTGTGATGGAGTTTAAAATATGTGTCTTGACTTTTGGTCCCTAAGAATCTCAGCCATTTTTGCAAGAATAGGCCCATTAACCTTAATGCCCTGCTCAAATCAGAACTATATTATCGGCTTATCTAAAATCCATCTGCAATTCAGCTAACTATGGATAATTCTCTTCTTCCTCTTTGGAACAGCTGCCCCGCTTCACTCCAGAAGTGGTTGCAATATGGGAAACCATGCTACTGTGTACAGGCTATCCTCACTAAAAGTCCAATGTATGTTCCAAAAAACTTGGACTTACAGTGAAACAACGTAAAGCGAGGAATTTTTTTCCCCGCGGCTGACTTCCATTTGCACAAATTGTTTTGTTTTTCCGTGCGACTTCTGGGTAGGGAATGAGAGGACTTATAATGCATCAGTTCCTACAAATGTCAATGACTTTTGTGTGGAATGGGTGTATATTGGGGCAACTTATAGTGGGGACCCCCTGTACTATTATCAGCTTTGTTGGATACTGAGGTTTTCCTGAGCAAAAATGTTCTTTGCATAAATGGTAGCTAGAGTTTAAAAGTTAATATGAGAAGATGACCCAGATCAATTAAATAGGAGTCTCCCGTTTGCCAAAAGGCTGACTCAATTCAGTGGAGTAGGCTTGTTCCTAGGTGCTTTTTCCCTACTTCTGATTTCTCTTTAGTTGCAGAAAAGGAAAGTCTACGAAACTCGGACCTCGCTTCTCAGGAAACAACCACCCCCTGTGAAATTGGACTCGCTTTGGCACATGCCCCACTTTCAGAAGGTATGATGGGACTTGTGCATACAGACACATACCCTGTTTAACAGAATACAACAGTGCACTTGGTGTTGTACAAAGCAAGCAATGAAGACAGCCCTTGTCTTGACAGTCTTGCAATCTAAAGCCCCAGTTTTGCAAACACTAACATGCAGTGTTCTCTAAACTGTGGGGCAGCACAGATTCACAGGTGATTAATCAGCCCTGCCCAGTCAGAGGCTCAGGGCTCTGATTGTCTGGGCAGGACTGATATGTCACCTATGAAACTTAGAGGGAACACGGTTACATGTATTTAATGTTGAGCATATGAAATGCCCCATTGACTTCAGCTGTACCACTTACATGCTTAAAGTTAAGAATAGTGATAGAAATGTAGCCTTGTTAGTCTGGTGTAGCTGAAATGAAAAACAAGACTATGTAGCACTTTATCTTGTTAGTCTTTAAAGTGCTACATAGTCCTGTTTTTTGTTAAAGTTAAGAATGTGAGAGTTTGCAGCACTGGGGCCTAGAAGACATACAGAGGAGACAGCTGAAGGAGGGAAGTGACCTGGAAGTTCCTACTATTCGTTTGCCAAATTCTTGTGAGCACATTCAACAGCTTTGCCAGATTAGAAATGTGTCTTTTCCCGCCTCACTCTTAATACTAGTCAGCTTCTTTATTCCTCATTAATAGCTGAACTTCAAACCTATTCCCGAAATAAGCAAGCAATACTGTACCGAAAACGGGCATGTGCAAAGCATGCCATCTTGCTGCTTTGCTCTATAAATAATTCACGTCATGCTGGGTTCATTTGGCTCAAGAAGTGTTGTTATCCTGAGAATTACTGGTTTCCAGAAAGTTTGTGCTCTTGGTAGGTCTCTAAACTGTCTGATTGACAATAGTCTCCTTGAGATTGAATGAAGCGTCTATTGAGGTTTACAGAAACACATGACACGTACCTAATTTGATCCAGATAAGAGACAAGGTTAAGGTTTCATGTCCTAGCATGGGATCTGAACTCCTCACTGTATTAATCTAGGCACCCTGTTGCACTCTTGGGGGCTTTTTTGAATTCTGGGATCATTGTTTGTGGTGTAAATTAGAGAGACGCTGCAAGCAGAGCGCCAGGGGGCATTTTACAAAGAAAGGGAAGGGGGGAAAACAACAGAAAGACTGAGTCTCCAAAACCTGTGGGGAGTTTACATGGCCAAAACCACATCTGACACTGATAGATACTATTCTACAGAATCCTGCAGCACGGGCCAACATGCGTAGGGTTAGTGTTTGCAACTGTGTTGATTTAAACAACGAAGAGGATTCATGGCTTCCTGAAGCTAATATACTTGAACAAGTTGGAGAGTTTCAACCAGGAAATATGTTTTGTGCCACCTTGATGTATTCCTTTTACATCCTGCCTAAGTCTGTCCTATTAGCATATGTCAGTAATCATTTATCCCAGCTGCCTGTCAGCACAGAGCTGCTGCTGCAGCTAATGTCAGGGAAAGAACATGACCGATCGCTGTTAAACAGATTGTGTAAGTCACACGAGATCCTGGGGTAAGCTTTTGCTTTATAGCTCCTCTCGCCCTGGACCTTTCCATCACACTTCATTTTTCAGTCTCTGTCCCCGTTTTTCTCTTTTACTCTCCCTTTTGTTTTATCTGTGGGAGCAGTTGGGTTTGTATAAATACGTAACACCTGCCCACACAGGCAGTCTCATGCATTCTCTTTTCCCTGCTCTTCTCTATCTGCTCTTCCCTTGTTCTACTGGGGCTGCTCCACCCGTAGGATCCAGGACAGGAGCCTTAGTCAGGTTTCTATAGAAGCACATCGATAAATTGCCTAAGGAGGTTGTGGAATCTTGGCCATTGGAAATATTTAAGAGCAGGTTAGATAGACTCCATCAGGGATGATGTAGGCAATGTTTGGTCCTACCATGAGGGCAGTGGACTGGACTTGATGACCTCTCGAGGTCCCTTCAGGCACATCTACACAGCAGGCCTCAACTCAAAATAAACTGCATAACTTAAGCTATGCAATTAGCATAGCCCAAGTCAAAATAGCTCATTTTGACTTTTGGAGCTGTCTACACAGCAGTTATTTCGAGATAGAGCATTCTTCCCCCGACTTCCCTTACACTCGTCTAATGAGGGTTATAGGAGTTGGAGTAAGCAGTCCTCCAGTTCAACATTTATTTTGACATTATGTTGAAATAACTGCTTGTGTGTAGACACAGACTATGTTATTCTGAAATAGCATCAGTTACTCCAAAATAACGCTGGGGTGTAGACCTAGCCTTCCAGTTCTAGTATTCTAGGATTCCATAATCCTTCTGCTCCTTGCTACGTTAATCTGAAAAGCGTTGTTTCTCCCCAGCTGCAGCTATGATTTGCTATAGGTCCATATCAGAACTTAGATTGGGAAAGGCAATGTTCCACACAGTTTCAGAGCATGGGTCCCATTATGTGAAGTTTTAACCAAGGGGCAGTGAAACGGTTCCATTAAGATATAAACTGATCCAACAGTTGAACCACACTGAACCCAAGCATTTGTTGAGGTTTCAAGAAATTGGATGAACTTCAGTAGTGCCTGCTGCGTTTATTTCCAGCCAGAAGAAGGAGCGATACCAGAAAGCCTATGCTCATGAAAACAACGAGGAGTCCTGTGGCACCTTAAAGACTAATCAATTTATTTGGGCATCAGCTCTCCTGGGCAGATGGATTTTGCCCACGAAAGCTGATGCCCAAATAAATCTGTTAATCTTTAAGGTGCCACAGACTCCTCATTATTTTTGCAGATACAGACTAACATGGCTACCCCTCCAATCCTAGTCTCATGGTATTTCAGAGCAGGGCAGAATTAGGAGGTATAATCTGACCGTCTGTACATGGCTCATGATACCTTTTTACTCTTGATTGTGGGCAACTGGCTGTGGGCTTAGTGAAAACTGAATATGACAACAGAGGGAGGGGCAGGTAGTGCTGTCCATTGTAGGCAGGACGCTGCCTCTAATCTATAGCAGTGGGTCGTGGCGGGGGGAGTGTGGCAGACGAGTGGACCAGTACTTTTTTTTTTTTTTTGGCTCAACAAAAATTTTCCCGGCCCTGGGGGTCGCAAATTAAAAAAGATTGAGCACCACTGATCTATATAATGTGTCCTGATTCTTCAGTGATGGGGTTAAAAAAAAATCAGCCAGTAAATAAACTATTTAATAAATAGTAAAATCTCTGGAGTTTGTTCTCATTAGATTTCCAACCCATAAAAGGCTCGGAGAAGCTTCTCACAAGGCTAAAACAGAAACTGAGCTGGATCCGCAGTGAGTGCAAGCAACTCTGTGTGCTCAGAACTCTTTGTGGTCCAGTTTCAAAACTCACCTCTCCCCAGGACCAGCTCCCTTCTCCCAGTCTTCCTACTTCTCCCAAGAAACCCTCTTCCAGGAACCACCTCCTGTAGACTTGGTCACTGCTCCTCAGCCAGCCCATTCTGGTCTCCCTCTGGCATCGCTTCTAAGGTTTGAAGAAGGGTGCCCCGCTGCTGCATACCTGCGTGTGGAGCAGGAGCCAGCCCTGCATGGTTTCTGAGGTCCAGCGGAGCAGGGAGAGGCTCTAGCAGAGATGAGGCGCTCCACCAATCAGACATCTCCACTTGAAAACTCCTCCCCAAACCTGGATGTTAACTGTAATGGAACTCCAGCTCCACCTTCCATTCTTGAGGACCACTGCATTCCCCAGGAGAAACTCAAAAGAACCCTCTACACCTCCTGACCTTTCTTAGGTTTCTCCCAAGAAAGGAGGAACATTTAAAGCCCTCTTATAGCAGCTATCTAGAGCAGGGGTGGACAATAATTTTTGCTGGGGTGGCCATTCCAAGATTTTGGAAAGTGGCCGAGGGCTGCACTCTTCCATGATATTAATGGAGGAGGTGCGGGGTCTGGGATGGAGGTAGGGTGCAGAAGGGAGCTTGGGGTAAGGGACTGGGGTGCAGGAGGGAGAGTGGGGTCTGGGAGGGAGTTTGGGTGAAGGAGGCAGTTGTGATCTGGGGCACTGGACTGGCCAACTACTCAGATGATTTAAAGTAACTGTAATTCAGAGAAGTGGCTAGTGGACAAATAAGGGGCTGCGGATTTCTGACCACTGAGAGCTCTTGCATATATGGATGAAAGAGGGGGACAAAGGGTTTGGGTATGTGGAGTGGGGGGCAGAGGGATGGGGAAGGGATGGCCTGGGGTGCCAGAGGCAGGCTGTGGCTGGGAGATTTACCTGTGAGACTCTCAGCCAGCATCCCAGCATGTTTCTCAGATAGTCAGGGAGCCTGCTCTGCCCCACACAGGCTGCAGGGCCATGTACGTGTGACAATAACTATGAGCCAGGGGGGAGAATGGGCGCAGCGTAGTGCTTTGTGTGCTGCCTGTTGTTCAAACAGGCAGCTCCCACTGGCCATTTCTGGCCAGAAACCGGCCAATGGGATTGTGCTGGGGACGGGGACAGTGCCTGAAGCCTTCCCCCATTCCCTCCCAGTTCACAGTTTTTAAAGAGAAACTACCCTGCAGCTGCTTTTCTGAACGGCATGAGGGTGGGGCAAGGCAAGCAGGGAGCCTTCCTGGGGCTCCCCACAGTGCCCTATGCAACGGTGTATGGCTAAAGATGTACCTGCGGGTAAGCTGTGTTCTTCTTAGCCACACTAGCTCAGGGAATGGCCAGGAGAGAGGGTGATGGCTGTGCAGCTGGTAGTTTTTGGCTTTGGAGCAGAATGTTGTTGTCTAACATGTCCCAGTACACACAGGACTCTTAATATACCATCTCGTGTTATGTAACTGAAGAGTAATTTGGGATTCTGGAGAAGGGTTGCTACAAGTCTGGAAGGTGGGAGATGCTCATTCCCCTCCAGTCTGCCACAGACATGCCGAGATCCGTGGGCAATTCTATGCTTCAGTTTTCCCATCTGTGAAATGGGGACAATCAACGCTTTAGTACCTCAGTGAGGGGAGGAGGGGGATGGGAGGGCTGTATGGGTCAACTGATGTTTG